TCCCTCACTGCTTTGTCTGTGTCAGGGCAAGTGTCAGGTTACACAGGAGAGGCCAGTCAGCAGATCACAGCCATGAGACAGGATTAATATCTCCTGCTACCCCCTCTGGGGCGGAGTCCCAGCATCGGATTATACAGATGTGATATCATGTCTATTATATCACCTGACACCCCCTCTGGGGTGAAGTCCCAGCATCGTATTATACAGATGTGATATCTATTATATCACCTGACACTCCCTCTGGGGCGGAGTCCCAGCATCGGATTATACAGATGTGATATCTATTATATCACCTGACACCCCCTCTGGGGCGGAGTCCCAGCATCGGATTATACAGATGTGATATCTATTATATCACCTGACACCCCCTCTGAGGCGGAGTCCCAGCATCGGATTATACAGATGTGATATCTATTATATCACCTGACTCCCCCTCTGGGGCGGAGTCCCAGCATCGGATTATACAGATGTGATATCATGTCTATTATATCACCTGACACCCCCTCTGGGGCGGAGTCCCAGCATCGGATTATACAGATGTGATATCATGTCTATTATATCACCTGACACCCCCTCTGGGGTGAAGTCCCAGCATCGTATTATACAGATGTGATATCTATTATATCCCCTGACACCCCCTCTGGGGCGGAGTCCCAGTATCGGATTATACAGATGTGATATGTCTATTGTATCACCTGACACCCCCTCTGGGGCGGAGTCCCAGCATTGGAACTGCTACAACCAGCATATAACATTACCCATAAGTATATAGATGTACACCAGTATAGAAATAATACAAGCTTTATATAAGAAGAGATTAATAACACTCCATACATCCAATGTACAGCCATAGATTATCAACAAAAGGGCCCGATAGGAGTGCTGGGAGAATTGTGCTCATATACCCGGGTATATATAGCCATCAATAGAGATGCCTCCAGATGAATGGTTCAGCAATGTCCAGTGGAAGGGGCCCCTGAGGATTATGACACAGCATCTGTCTGTGTCAGAGACATGAAGACAAGATAAGCAGCAATAGGGTTAGGGTTAGATCCTCCAGCCATTGTCCAACCAGCCTGGAGTGCAGCTTGGCACATGCAGGAACTGTGGTGTGGCACTGGAACCCAAGAGTCAGCCTACTTTGTCTTAGATCCTAGTAGTTTCCAATCTTCCATGCAACCGGACCTCCAACTACCTAATGCGTTGTCAGATGCCTAATCCGGATCTAACTTATGCTGGTTATTGAGCTCTAAACCAAAACTAGCTGTAGAATCCCAGACCAGAAGACGTTGGGTTAACTAGTGGAGAGAGAGGGAGAGAGAATAAACAACGTGAGCTGTTTACCTCCTAATAGACAGGAAGGTGACCAATACACATACAGGAGCCCAGACCGAGCTATCTGGCACCATACAGGTGAGATCATGACGATAGGGAAGAGATACGTCCATCACTGGAATCCAGAAGTTACGGACAGGTAAAGTGGTTCTAAATCAAACTCCTTACGGCTGTTTTTACTTCAATCCATTCTCTGCATTAAGGTAACAAACCTTCCATGCAGATGATCCCCCACCCTCAGCCCCCCAGCCCCGCAGCCCCCCGTGATAGGCCATCTTGGTGGAGGCTTTAGCCAGGGCCTCCTTAATTGACTTGTTTGCGGGGGGCCTGGTGCCTTGGCGTCCCCTTGACCATTACGCCATTTTCCAAAGGGGGGGGCTGTCGTGAGGATTACAGCCCCCTTATCTCCCTGTGTCCTCGTATTAGCTCCTGGCCGTGGGCGGGCCTATACACGGAGCTCTATGGGGAGAGCCCCTGCTTATCTGAGGCATCCCGCCTCTTTAAATCTGTTAGGTCAGGGGGGGTCCGCAGTGGGGTCGGGTCCTCCTATATTACATTGTGGCCGGGATCCGCAGCTCCTCTTCACTGTCGCCCGACGGGGAGATGGAGCTCTAGTGGGACATGTCCGTCCCGTCGGCCGCGCATGCGCACTCATGGTCCTCTCACAGTATTTCTCAATGGCTGCAGGAATGCAGCCAGAGAGAAGGAGAAATGATTGCTTTTACAGCCTTTATGGGTTTAAATGCAATCAGTGTAAAAAAAAAAAATCTTCATCACCCCCCACAAGTAGTACAGTGTCACCATGGTGACCCTCTACTGCTAGGTTACAGTATGTTAGAAAAAAAACAAACACATAAAAATAATATTAAAAAAAAAAATAATAAAAATGTATAAAAATTTTTTGAAAAATTATATTTTTTGGTTACAAACTAATTTTGTTATTTTTTTTTACTAAAAAGATAACTGAATACATTTTGGCCAAGATTTATGAAGAAAGATTATTTATTTGAAAAATTTTTATAAGAAAAACACTTGTTTTCAACTGTTTGGAATTTTTCATTTATATAGCAAAAAAATAAAAATCCCAGCGGTGAATAAATACAACCAAAATAAAGTTTTATCTGTCTCAAAAAAAATGCTAAAACATTCATATGGGTACAGTGTTGCATGACCGCGCAATTGTAATTCAAAGTGTGATAGCACTGAAAGCTGAAAATTGGCCTGGACAGGAAGTGGTTAAAGAGGTTTTAAGGGATCATCTAAAGGCGGATAGATTAGGAGCCAGCCGGACAGATTGGGGTAAGAAGTTACATAGGATGGGAGAAACTCGGGAGAAGTCCTGGAGGCGAGCATGGGAGGAGGTGACACAGGAACTAGAGAGAAGAAGGTCTTGGGAGGATTGAAGAGAGCAGTTTGGTTGATATTTTGAGACCAGGATGGTGATGTAGCTGGGGGCAGAGTTGTGGATGGCTTTGTAAGTTGTTGTCAGTATTTTGAATTTTATTTGTTGGACGAGTGGAAGCCAGTGAGGGGGATTGGCAGAGAGGGGTGGAGGACACTGAGTGGAGGCCAGTGGAGGGATTGGCAGAGAGGTTTGGAGGACACTGAGTGGAGGCCAGTGGAGGGATTGGCAGAGAGGGGTGGAGGACACTGAGTGGAGGCCAGTGGAGGGATTGGCAGAGAGGGGTGGAGGACACAGTGGAGGCCAGTGGAGGGATTGGCAGAGAGGGTGGAGGGATTGGCAGAGAGGGGTGGAGGCCAGTGGAGGGATTGGCAGAGAGGGGTGGAGGACATGGAATGGAGGCCAGCGGAGGGATTGGCAGAAAGGGATGGACGACACTGAGTGAATGCCAGTGTGGAGGGATTTGCAGAGAGGGTGGAGGACACTGAATGAGGCCAGTGGAGGGATTGGCAGAGAGGGGTGGAGGACACTGAGTGAAGGTCAGTGGAGGGATTGGCAGAGAGGGGTGGAGGACACTGAGTGGAGGCCAGTGGAGGGATTGCAGCAGAGGGGTGGAGGACACTGAGTGGAGGTTAGTGGAGGGTGGAGGCAGAGAGGGGTGGAGGACAGTGAATGGAGGCCAGTAGAGGGATTGGCAGAGAGGGGTAGCAGACACTGAACGGTTGGTAAGGTGAATGCTCAAAGCCTCTACCACAACCGTGGTTTTAATATTGTTCAATAAAGCTTTAACTGTTTATATTTTGAGTATTTGATCTTCTTTTTGCTGTGGTGCCTCTTAAAGCCCCATTAGTTTTTCTTAGTTAGGGCCCGTATGTTTTCAGTGTCTTGTTAATAAGGGGTGTGGCTCCAGTAAAATCCATCAACAAGGGCGAGACCGTCACTCACAGACCTCCCTCTCCCTCTTCTCTCCTATGAACTCTCCATATGAAGCTTTCTCTGCCCTCTGCGGACCTCTCCTAGAGTCATAGCCTGAGTGTAACAGACAGGAAAACTGCAATGATTGGTTCTCCTGAATGTAGTGCCATACTCTTGAGAGCCGCTGGTTTTGGGTCCTCCTTTACTTCCTGCACAGCCAGGCAACACACATTTTTCTACTTGTATCCAGACATGGGCTTGTTTTTTTGGATTTATTATGGAATTTAACTTAGATCTGTCCCCTGAAGACTTACCAAAAACTTGGATCCAGCAGACTTCTCCCTTCTAGGCCCTGGGGGTGTAGAGGTCCTCACACTGTCCTTGTCCTGCAGCTGTGGATAGAACTGCTTTCAGGCCTTCTTCTGGGCTGGTTTCTCTCCAAGCATTGCAGGGTGTCCTTCTCCGGGTGGACTGCAGGGCATTGAAGCTCCCTCCTTCAGCCTTCCTCCTTCTTCCAACCTAGAGACAGTCCCTCCCCCCATTCTCCTAGGCCCCCTCCAAGGCTACACAGCAGCACATTAGCAGTCCATCCAATTTTCCACCCGACTCCTCTGCTGGCCAGGTTCTGTCAAAATTTAAGGGCTGGTCTGCCACACTGCCAGGCCTCCTGTCTGGGATTGGTCAGACTGCCATAAATATGCAGATCAACCCCTCCTCACCTCCTCTTACTGACTTCTAGAAGCTTCTCCAAGCTTCTAGAGCAGGGGGGTACCATAGGACTGACCTGTAGAGCCCTCCAGCCTGGACTGAAATAACCCTCTGTCTAAACCCAGGCTTCTAGCAACTACTCTCAACAACTATGTACACCAGAGGGCGCTACATATACATAAAGATCGGTCAAGTCTGAAAAGAAAATGAATTTTCATACTTTTTATCATTTTTTTTTGTGACAGATAGAGCTTTCTTTTGGTGGTATTTCATCACCTCGGGGATTTTTATTTTTTTCTTAAACAAACCAAAAACCACTGAAAATTTTGAAAAAAAAAAAGTTTTTTCTTCGTTTTTGTTATAAAATTTTATAAATAAGTGATTTTTCTCCTTCACTGATGTGCAATAATGAGGCTGCAGTGATGGGCACTGATAGGCTGCACTGATGGACACTGATAGGTGGCACTGATGGGCACTAATGAGGAGGCACTCATCGTAGGTGGCACTGATGGGCATTGACAGGCATCACTGATGGCACTGAAAGGCAGCACTCATATGTGGCACTGATAGGCACTGACTGGCACTGACTGGCACTGATAGGTGGCACTGATGGCACTGTTAGGCTGCACTGATAGGCACTGCACTGACAGCACTGATAGGTGGCACTGATTGGCAGCACTGATAGGTGGCACTGACTGGCACATTGATAGGTGGCACTGACTGGCACTGAGGTGACATTGAAAGGCAGCTCAGATGGGCACTGATATGTGGCATGATAGGCGGATGTGGCACTGATAGGCGGCATGGATGAGCACTGAGAGCTGGCACTGATGTACACTGACAGGTGGCACTGCTGGGGCTACACAGATCATCAGGGCACACTTATCATCAGTACCCTGAAAGATCAGTGCACATGGCACCCTCTGAGGAATCTCCTCTGGCACTCTGTCAGCGTGACAGCTGAAATGAGGAGAGAAATGCCGATAACCGGCATTGGCCCTGTTTACATGTGATCAGCTGTGATGGACACAGCTAATCACATGACCGAGCCTACCATCTTCAGGGCTCTTTTCCATGATTTGCCTGTGTCCGAGTGGACACAGCACACCGCCGATCGCCGATTACTGCTGCTCCCGGAACCTGCAGCGTGGGACAGACATCATATGACGTCCTTCCAGAATGAGAGAACCACCTTGCGCCCATCAATTTACAATATGGCAGCTGAAGGAGGTGGTTAAGCAATGTATTCCCTCCCTGGTTATCTCACGCCTTGACTATTGTAACTCCCTCCTTATTGGCCAACCTCATTGCAGGCTATCCCCTCTTCAGTCTATCATAAATGATGCGTCCGAGGAAACTCAGCCACCTTACTAACCGTTCCATATCTGCCACCCCTCTCTGCCAATCCCTCCACTGACTGTCCTCCACCCTTCTCCGCCAATTCCCTCCATGGCCTCCAGGTGGTTAAGCAATGTATTCCCTCTCTGCCAATCCCTCCACTGGCCTTGACTCAGTGTAACTCCCCCCTCTCTGCCAATCCTCTCGCAGGCTGGCCCCCTCTTCAGTGTCATCCACCCCTCTGCTGCCAATCCCTCCACTGGCCTCCACTCAGTGTCCTCCACCCCTCTCTGCCAATCCCTCCACTGGCCTCCACTCAGTGTCCTCCACCCCTGTCTGCCAGTCCCTCCACTGGCCTCCACTCAGTGTCCTCCATCCCTCTCTGCAATCCCTCCACTGGCCTCCACTCAGTGTCCTCCACCCCTCTCTGCCAATCCCTCCACTGGCCTCCACTCAGTGTCCTCCATTCCTCTCTGCCAATCCCTCCACTGGCCTCCACTCAGTGCCCTCCACCCCTCTCTGCCAAGCCCTCCACTGGCCTCCACTCAGTGTCCTCCACCCCTCTCTGCCAATCCCTCCATTGACCTACACTCAGTGTCCTCCAACCCTCTCTGCCAATCCCTTCCACTGGCCTCCATTCAGTGTCCTCCATCCCCCTCTCTGCCAGTCCCTCCACTCAGTGTCCTACACCCATCTCTGCCAATCCCTCCACTGGCCTCCATTCAGTGTCCTCCATCCCTCTCTGCAATCCCTCCACTCAGTGTCCTCCACCCCTCTGCCTCCCTCCACTAACCTTTACTCATGTCCTCCACCCCTCTCTGCCAATCCTCTACACCTCCACTCAGTGTCCTCCATCCCTCTCTGCCAATCCCTCTACTAACCTCACTCAGTGTCCTCCACCCCTCTCTGCCAATCCCTCCACTGGCCTAATCTCTACTCAGTGTCCTCCATCTCCCTCACTGTCCTCAATCCCTCCATCCCTGACCTCCACTCAGTGTCCTCCACCCCTCTCTGCCAATCCCTCCACTGGCTTCTCATTGCCCAACGGATAAAATTGAAAACATTAACAATAATATATAAAGCCATTTATAACTCCGCCCCAAATTACATCACCAATCTTGTCTCCAAATATCACCCAAGCCTTCCTCTCCGCTCCTT